TCCTTGGCTTGTAGATGCCTCAACCTGATCTCTGCCTTGACGCTCACTTGGCGTTTATCTTGTATACATGTTTGTCTTCAAATTTCCCCTGTTTTATAAGAACACTAGTCATATTGGATTTGCGCCCACCATAATGACCTCATCTTAAGTTGATTACCTCTGTAAATACCTTATCTCCAAATAAGATCACATTCTGAGATACTGGGGTTAGGACTTCAACATCTGAGTTTTTGTGGGGGACACAATTCAAGCCAAACATCATGTAATATATAATAGCAAAAACATGTATTCATTTACTATTAATTGATTAATTTAGAAGTATTTATTGAGCACTCACTACATGCAAAACACTGTGCTCATATGCCTTTTAAAGGGATAATTTTACCTCAATATTTTTTTGATTCTTCTTAGCATACAACCCAGACTTACAGGAGGGAACATTCTACTACTCTGGTTCCAAAAGCAAAGAAAAGAGAAGAGCTAAGGAAAGTAGAAATGTTAACAGAAGTCCAAAAAAGGCACACTAGAATGATTTTTATCCTTTAGCTATAATAGAGCAAAAATGAAGGGTTTTCCAAAAGAGGACCAACATTTTCCCCTGCCTCCACTTAAGCAATGACTCTTACACAAGACTTTCTGTGTAATTTCTCTTTATGTAACTCCTGATTCAGAAAACCTTTGGCTTTAAAGACTGGGTAACTCCAGAAGATCAAGACCTTATTATAACTGAAATATCTGTTTTAAAGACAATACAATGCTCTGCTATTTGAAGTAAGAGGATAAAAGATTGCTAGAGCTAAAAAGGACTCCAGAGAGCATCTGCTTCAAGGGGCGAGGAGGTTTCATCCTATGTTGTTTTAATGTAGGTTTTATTATCACTTAGATATGGTAAGGCCAACAGATCAAGAGATGACTGCCATTGAAAAGACAGTTTATAATATTAGCAGATCCCAAAAGAAGGGGGCACTCGATGCCATGGGGGCCCACAGGGGGAAGCACCAAGGTCAGGCAGGGGGCAGAGGGAGGTGAGAACTGTGGGCAAGAACTGTGGGAAGGAACAGGCAAGGCAGAGTAAGTAGGTTTAGGATTGGCTAATTCGGATACTTTCAGCAGATTCTGGAACATGGGCACTATTCCTTGTTGTCTAGTACCTGACCGTGGGGTGATTAGGGCAGGTGGATAGTGGCTCAGAGTGAGAGCCTGATAAAGAAGGTGGTTGTGTTATGGGCTCTGGATTGGTTGGTTTGCATCTGAAAAGTGTGCTCCTAGGCCAGTTGTTTCCTTTTTCTAGGAATTGGCTAACTTTGGGAGGCAGAGTACATCCAGGGTCAAGAAGGCCCCAGATATCAAAGCATCAAAACACAGAAAACAAAAGACATAGTTAACACAAATGTGTCATTTCTAGTTGATTGGTAGAGACTTCCTAGATGGGATGTTGATAGTGATCCTGAAATCATATATTGGCTCAGTAAAAAAGAGTGATGTTTGATTCTCGGTGTCTGCCATGGACACTGGGGTGAGATGTAACCGTGTATTTGTCATCACCCATTTAATCCAACTCTTCCTATAAAGATGATGAAGATATGGTCCAGAGAGGTAGATTAACTAGCCCAAAATCACACTGCTACTTAGTCATGGGCCTGGAAATACAGCCCAGATCTTTTGACTCCCAAATTAGTGTTCTCTACTAAGCATGCTGGCTACAAACTACCCACAAAGCAGAGGTACTAGGTATAGACAGCAGCGTGATTTCAGCCCAGTCCCCCACAACATCACCTGTACTTTTTGGAGGAAGAGATCTTTTGTGCTGGGGCCTATCATTGTTTAATTATTCCTGTGCAGTCTGCTGCACGTTCTTCTATAGGCTGTGACATCCTTGTGGGTCTGTTCTTTTTCGTGACCACCATGCATGCCCTTCTTTGTTGAAGAAGCTCCAAGCCTGGTCCAGAGCCCTCTCCAACCCATCCAGAGCAGTTGCTGTTCTCCCAGGGAACCTGGCCAGCATGAGCCGAGTGATGGAGGTCCTCCCTCCTGTCCTAATTAGTTACCAATTCTCTGATTGGACTTTTCTTTGATGTTCAGCTCTTGACAGCAGTTTCTCTTCTTGAGCTGCCCTGTCCTGCAGCATTAATATTAGTCTCCTCCACAGCCAAAGTGATCCTGAGATAAATATTTTGTGACTTTTTGAGGGACAATATTTCTCAGTCCTCTAGAACAACACCCAATGTCCTGAGCTGTAGGAAGGGCAGAATTATGAACATTCAACACTATTTGTTCATTTATTGTCTATCAGGCAAGCATACAGTAGTGAGCATGTACTGCATGTAAGGCCCTTTTCTAAATATTCTGGGAGTTGTAAAAATGGTTAAGAAATGGTCCTTGCTATTAAAATAATAATCTAAAGGGAGAGATCAAATAAATAGTGACAGAACTAGGATTATATTGCATAAAATGTCTAGCTGGTCACCTAATCCATTTTCTTTTCTTCCTGGATACAGTGTTAGATTAAATTTCTCAGCCTCCCATGCAGTTAGAGGTGGCCAAATTACCGAATTCTAGTCAAGGGAGTGGTGAGCCAAAATGATATGCACTCCTTTTGGGTCCAGCTCATAAAAACTTACTTTAAAAACTTAAAAGATCCTTCATTGCTCTTTTTTCTTTTTCTTTCACCTTGATACATATGAACATAACAGCCTTGGAAGCCACATCTTAAAGATAGCAGAGCCTCAAGATGGAAGGATCCTGGGTCCCTGCATCACCACTTGGAAGAGAGCAGCACACAAATCAAGAATACACATTTGGACTTTTCCTGAGCGAGGAATAAGCTTCTATTATGTTTAAGCCTAGATAGATTTGGAGATTGTTTGTTATAGCAGATAGCATTATCTAAACTAATATAGACTAGAATCCAAGTTTCCCTACACCTAGTTCAGTTCTATTCCCTCCAAACCACAGATCCATGTGAAGTAATTTGATAATGCCCCAATTTAAACCCTAATAAATTTACAAATCACATCCTAAGTCATCTAAGAGAATTAATACATGAACAGTCAAAATTAATGGGTTTTAAGAAGGGACACCGTGGGGCCAGCCCCGTGGCTGAGTGGTTAAGCTCCACTTTGGCAGCCCAGGGTTTGTCAGTTCAGATCCTGGGCGCGGGCCTACACACTGTTCATCAAGCCATGCTGTGGCAGCATCCCACATAGAAGAAGTAGAATGATTTATGACTAGGATATATAACTGTGTACTAGGGCTTTGGGGAGGAAAAAAAACAAAGAAGGGAAACCTGCAAAGCATGTAGATCTGTGTGAAATAGTGGAGAAGGATGACTCTGTTGAGCAAACCTAGTGTCCAGTTTATAACACAGGGTTAGTGCTTGAGGCACTGATCTGCCATTTCTGGATTCCAAGTTTGGGCCAACTATTCCGAGGGTTATAAGAGGAGGTTTCCCTTGGCTGATCTGGTTGTAGCATGCTGCAAACTCACATCTCCCAAGGCTCTTTGTTTCTGCCTCTTGAACTCCCAAATAAAATTGCCAAGTACTAGTGATTCCCATGGTAGGGCACAAACTCTTTCGACACGTGACTGACCCTAACTGCCTCCTTAGTGCAATTGGTGGACACTAAAAAGGCCCACCCAAATGACAGACCGGAGGCAAAGGCACACCTGTGAAGGAGACATAGTTTTTCTTTAATATATTAAAATTTTCCTTTTAGAAACTCTCTAAACCACTCTCCTTACACTTACTTTCTGGCTCCTCAGTACATGCAGTCTTCCAGCTAGATGCCCAGGGTCCCCAAATTTAGCACTTTACCCTGGCCCCCCCTTAGGGTGTCACTACCCGCTTCACTTTTCATTCTTATATTCAAAAAACCTACCCAAATTATGAACTAAAAAAGCTAAAGTCACCGTGGGATGTCTAGTGGTTACAAATGTTACGCTGCCTGGAAGGAACTCTAGTCCATTAGGTTACAGCTGTCTAAAATTAGCTGGACAACATCTTGGGTCCAAAAGGAGGAGGTATAATTAAGAGAACTGTCAATGGACTAGGAATAGGAGATTACAGAACTCTAGGTAACAATGCCCCTGGCCACCTGGGGTAGGTTGCAGGGAGAAGGGCTGGGATAGCTTCCGCAGGGGAAGAAAATTTTGCAAAGGAGAAGTGAGAAGGTGTTCTGCTTAAGAACAGTCCTGACTTTAAGACATCTTTTCCCTGAGAAAACATGCATAGGCAAAAATAGTAAACCACACACACTCAAGAGAATTGAACAGATAATATACTTTGTACAAGTTGCAAAATGCCGAAGTTGGTTCTTATGCTATAATATTCAGCATCAATAGTTAAGAACGCCCCGGGTAAGTTATTTGTCTGACGGAAGAAACAGCATCCTGTTTTTTATAAATGGTTTGAGGGGGTGGAAATAATGGCTTTGGTCATTTTGTCTTATTTTTATAGGATACTTGATTCTGTTTAAGACTAGCTTGTGAATTTGGGCTTGTTCTGATTTATAAGTGACCTTTGGAGGAGTCTGAAGTTGTTCCTGGAATTTATACCACAGGGATTCCCTTTCTGTCCTCCTTAGTTAACTGCTAAACACATCACACATAAATGCGATGGGAAGGCAGACAAACATTTCAGTTACTTTCAAAAGGAAGCTTATGTTGGGAAATATTTGAGCTACATCCATCTTGTGGGTTTCTTTTGTCTAATTCAAGCATTCTTTCATAATTTGTCCTTCCTGATAAATCATTACTCAAAAGCATTTAAGCTTATTGTTCCCTCTTCAGAGTACTGGTGGTAACCCAACACTCATTCCAATGTTGCCTCTGACTTCAAGATTTGGTAACCCCACCACATGATTTAACAAAGTGCTTCATGTGAAAGGTCACCCCTAAGATCCCAGTTCCCGAGAGGAGGACATTCCCTACCCTGCTGACATGTTGGTTTCTAAGATCTAGTGTGGCATTTCTGTGTTCTTTCTTTTCCTGAAACATTTCAGAGATAAGAAATGAAGAGAAGAAGCTGCTTCTAGAAGCTGTGGATGTTTGTCCCCTTGGTGACCTGAATGACAAATGTGGGTAGGACAGGAAATGGGAAAGTGATCTGCCTGCCAGAATATCAGCAGATGTCCTTCTGGATGCATCATCTGTATTGCACTAAAAACACATGGAAGTTGTTTTTCACAGAGGCAGAGCTCTGCCCCAAAGTTGGCACCAGGTCAGTTCCATACTGGGTAACTATTGGGGAATTTTTTTACTTCAATATTACTGTCATTATGCCATTTCCTTGCTCAAAAATATCCCGTGGCGTGGTAGTGCTATTGTCTGGATGTTTGTGCCCTCCCCTGCCCCCCCCCCCCCCCCCCCCACAATTCATATGTTGAATCCTAACCTGAAAGGTGATGGTATTATGAGGTGAGGCCTTTATGAGGTGATTAGGTCTTAAGGAACGACCCCTCATGAATAGGATTAGTTCCCTTATAAAAGAGGCCTGAGAAAGCTCTCTTGCCCATTCCCAGCATGGGAGAACACAGCAAGAAGGCACTAGCTGTCAACAAGGAAGTGAGCCCTCACCAGAACTCAGTGATGCTGGCACCATAATTTTGGACCTCCCAGCCTTCAGAACGGTGAGAAATAAATTTCTGTTATTTATAAGCCACCCAATCTATGGCATTTTGTCATAGCAGCGTGAACAGACTAAGACAAGTAGGCAGAATAATGGTCCCTCCAAGATGTTCATGTTCTAATCTCCAGGACCTGCAAATATGTTACCTTACATGGCAAAAGGGCCTTTGTAGAATGTGATTAGGGTCAAGGACCTTGAGATGAGGCAATTAGTATGGATTATCCAGGTGGACCCAATATAATCACATGCATCCTTAAAAGTAGAGAAGTTTTGCCAGTTGTGGTTGGGGTGGGTGGTGGTAGGGGTGGGAGGATGTGATAATAGAAGGTCTAGAGAGATGAAGGGAAAGAAGGAGAGATTTGAAGCATTCTCACTGCTTGACTCACAGTCGTCCACACCTACCCTGACTATTCCTGCCACCACACCTTTTCTCACACTGTTCTTCCTCTGCTTCTCCCACCTCAATTTTAGAAATCCATGGTCTGCATCCCACTCTGCAATGGAGCCAAATCCAACCCATAATGGTTCTTTTACTTTTGCACTCCTGCACCACTCATCGCGTTACTACCTTGTACACTTATCAATCTAGGGATTTCTTTACATCCTTAAAAAATTATTAAGGACTCCAAAGATCTTTCATTTATGTGAGTTATATCTATAACATTTACTATATTGGGAATTAAAACAAAGAAAATTTTAAAACAATTATTTATTAATTTATTTAAAAATAAATTATACAATTATTATTATACTATAATAACTGCATTTCACGTTAACATAAATAACATTTTAATAAAGATAGCTGTATTTTCCAAAACAAGAAAATGTAATGAGAAGTGTAGCCTGTCTCACAGTTTTGCAGATCTCTTTGCTGTCTGGCTTAATAGGAGACAGCTGGATTCTCCATCGATCACTCTATATTGTTTTGGTTAAAATATCTGAAGAAAATATGGCCTCAAACTGATTACAGTTGTAAAAGGGAAGTTATTTTAAAAGGATTTCCAGATAATTCTAGATATTCTTCTTTGATATTATACCAAAACTCAATAAGTGGTAGTTTCTTAAAGGTTAATTGCAACGTATAATGCCAAACTATATCAGTGACTCAGTTAATACTCTGTTACATTAAAATCCATTGATTTCCCTTGCACTTTGAATGGAATTTTGCCCCATGCATGATTTTGTAGCATGCATGATTGGTGGTGATTTGGAAAATATTGATTTATTCAGTTATGCACATGTTACAAGTATTATGTGATATCAAAAAATCACATTTGCTAAAACCACCAATCTCATCAGAAAAGTATCTATGTGTTGAGAAACTGTCAAATTCGTAGTGGTAGATACAAGATTTCGAAAGTTCTAATTTTCTCTTGAAAGCTTGAATTTTGTGGTCAACAGATAGTGTCAGTTATTTTCCTCTATATGACAGGCTCACTTCATTCATTTTTGAAAAAAAATGCTGGCAAATATCCAAGTCTGAAACCCCAAACTGACCCAGTTTGTCAGTCCTTATTTCATGAAAAACATGGTAAGTCCAGCTTACAATTCAAACTGCAATGAGAGAAGGCATTGACATCCAACATCTTTGCCCTTGGACTTCCAGCAAGACACAGGTTTCCCTATAAGTGAGCATCAAAGTTCCAAAAGGTCTGTCCAGTGTTCCTTTGATCAGAGCAATCAAATCCACAGCCATGTGCCAGCACAAGAGAAGTGGGCAATGTTGCCATAGAGATCCTGCTTGGCACAACCAGGTAGCAGGGAGGCAAAGCTGAAGGAAAAGTCACGCTGCCCTTCCAGTTTTTTCTACAGCCTCTCTTCCTGAGTGATGGAGATTAGGAGGTAACAGAGAGCCTAGGAGGAAGGGGAAGATTTCCCACCAGCCACTTCAACCTCTTGATGGCTAAAATTGAGGTGAGATGGGCCTCAGCAGCAAAGGGAAGATAAGATCTGGAGAGGAGTTTTAGAAGAATAAACTGAACTGAAGCTGTGAGCTTTCCAAGTTCATTTCCCATCTCTTCCCATTCTATTCATTCAGAATACCTGGGAGCCAGCCCTGGTGGTCTAGTGGTTAAGATTCGGTGCTCTCACCACCGCAGCCTGGATTCATTCATTTCCGGTCGTGGAACCACACCACCCATCTGTCAGTTGTCATACTCTGATGCCAGCTCACATAGAGAACTAAAACTAACAACCAGATACACAACTATGCACTGAAGCTTTAAAAAACAAGAATACCTGGCCCCAAGCAGAGATATATAATCATCAGAAAAGAACCAACATAAAACACAGACCAGAGAGAAAGAAGAGAGGAGTGGGGCAAGGGGGCTCAAGGGGAGTCTGGGGGAGAGGGGCCTAGGGAGAGGAAGAGAAGGCAAAAAAGAGGAAGATAACTAACTATAGAAAAAAATAAATAATTCAAGTAGTTATAATTTCAAAGAAATTTTAAAACTTAAAAATGCTCAATGAGAGATAATAAGAAGAGATTAAAAAACAATGGAAGATAATAAGCAAATTGATGAAGCAAGTTGGAAGAGAAAAGAAAAACATTACATAGAGGAAAATCATAGTGAAATAATAAAAATAGAATACAGACAATATAAAATGAAACAAAATATAAGACAGTATATAGAAAAATATACAAAGAAAATGAAAAAATGAAGCTATCTATAATTTATAGAGAAGACAATATACGTGTAAAATATACAGAATACTTCATGTTCATAAAGAACATGGAAAAAAAGAAGCAACAAAAATATTCAAAAATATACTAGAAGGAACTTTCTTGACATAAAGATTTGAATCTGTAGACAAAAAAAACAAACCATGCGTAGTGCCAAGAAAAATTAGTACACAACGTAGAGAAGTTACTGAACTTTAAGGATAAAGAAATACGTTTGTTTGTTGTTTTTATCTTCTGTTTATGAGTGAGATCATACAGTATTTGACTTTCTTCCTCTGACTTATTTCACTTAGCAGAATACTCTCAAGGTCCGTCTATGTTGTCACTAATGGCAAGGTTTCATCTCTTTTTATAACTGAGTAGTATTCCATCGTGTATGTATAGTACATCTTCTTTGTCAATTTGTCCCTTGAAACACATAGAGACAGAGATTGGATTGGTGGTCACCAGAGTGGAAGCGGGGAGGGAGGACAAAGAAAGGGGCGTCAGGGCACATGTGTATGGTGATGCATGGTAGTTAGTCTTTGAGGGGTGAACATGATGTAGTCTACACGGAAATTGAGAATTAATGATGTACACCTGAAATTTAAAAAAAAGAGATGTTAATGAGTAAACCAAGAACCCTAAAAAACGAAAAGATAAAAAAATAAATAAATAAATAAGGAGAAAGAAATAATATAGGCATCCAAGCAGAAAAATAGAAGTGTCACGTTAAAGGGGGAAATTGAGTTCTCCTTAAACTTGTCCATGGCAACTCCTGATGCCGGAAAATAGTGGAACAGTCACTAAAAAATCAAAGGGAAGTATGAGCAAAGAATTTCATGCCCAGATAAGTTGCTTTTCAAATATTAAGGCAACAGGCATTCTCAAGCATGCAAAAACCCACTGACTACAGCACGCGTAATTTGTTCTTGAAAAAATGAAAAAACTTGAAAATGAAACCAGGCCAACTAACATATGAATCAAAATTGAAAATTTGGAAATAAAGAAACTGTGGTTAAAAAAAGCAAGTGTGGTACATAGTAAACAGATTTAAATTTAGATTAAGACTAAACAATTATGAAAATATGGTTACAGAAAAAATACAACTGTTAAAAATCTTTAAATTGTAAAAATAATTTAACAAAAATCAGAAACTAGAGAGGAGGCAGGTTGGAATAAAACTAAAGTGTGTTAATTTTCTTATCTCTCATAGCAAGGGATCAATAGATGAAGTCTGCATCTGTTTGTTATATTTCCTTCACAGAAGGACAGAGCATCTGATTGCTTTCTGTGGACACCATCAACAAATCTATTGACAAACAATGTCTTTGGAGGCAGGAGAAAAACAAGTCACCACCACATCTCCATCTCCAAAGTTAAGAACTAAAAAGACATCTTGAAGAATAAAGTCAGAGTTGGGCTTCATCACAGGAGAGGCAAATCCATGGTTAATAGGATTTTAATATTTTCTTCATCTAAGAAAATATGGGTGTAGATTAAGAAAATGTTTCATATTCTCCTTGTGATTACTGGGTTATACAAGAGCTGTCAGCAAGACAGTTGAAAATTTTTTCTTCCTGATTTTGTTTATGATTTTACGAAGACTAACCATATTGACTAGACTAACTTGCCCATTGGTGGTCATTTTTTCCTATTTAGCAGTGTTATAAGTGGATACATGAGAGTGATTCATATGACCACACTTATATGACAGCAAAAGCAGAAAAATAGTACGAATCCTTGTGGTATAACTTGGCTAGGGAAATGTATAAATATAAAATTACAATGGAAGATGAAATTTCCAGTGACTAAACAATTTTGCATAACATGTACAAAGCCAAGAATGCCATACCCTGCTATATAGAAACTCAGAGGAAGCACAAACAGAGGTTGGATTGCGCATTTGGTTAGATTTCATTTCAGAAATCTCCCAGAGCTGAAAGAACATGGACACTGGCGTCAACAAGCTGGATTCTAAAACCCGGTGCTGCCTCTTTTCTATGGAGTATCTTTGGACAAGTTGGGCACTTAAAATCTACTAAAGCGATAGTTTCCTCATTTATAAAATAATAACAGTAACAACCACATCACCTACCATAGGGATGTTGTGAAAACTGGTGCAATATATATGTGGTGAACTTAGTAAGTGTGTAGTAGGATAAGTTCTCAATAAACGGCAGCTGGATATGGCCAATTAAGAAAAAAGCAACAAGAGGGGCTGCTTAGTGGCCAAGTGGTTAAGTTCGCACACTCTGCGTGGATGGCCCGGAGTTCGCCAGTTCGGATCCCAGGCACAGACCCATGCATCACCTATCAAGCCATGCTGTGGCAGGCAT